TCTCAGGTGGGTGTTGTCATTCGGAGATGCTCAACCTAATCCTCGTCCTCGACAACCTCACTATACGACAATCTGACGAAATTCATATACCCGTAGCAGGTAGGCATGTTCCAAACGTATCCCGATTACGATTAGTAACACTTCATCGGTTGTCTGTCACTAACCGTCGGTAATAGTATTCCTCTCCAATCAGATACTGCTGAATTACTATCCAATTCAAGTAGTTCTGTCAGGGAATGTTGCAAATTCTGTACATGTTGAATTCCATATCTCCTGCAGCTCTTAGCATCATCTGGCTTACTCAAAGCATCTTCTCTCGTGGTTCGCAGCCTAGTGAATGGGAGATGATTAGACGCTTGTTTGTTCGCTACCCTGGCTAAAGTTATCTTTCGTGAACACCCGGGTAATTCCCAAGGGCACACACTGGTCTTCTCCCGCGTTAAAAGAATAGAGTCGCGCCCCAAGCGGTTCACCATCAACCATTCGATCGTTCGGTATGAACGTTGGTGTGGCTGCATTCAACCTAAAATCAACGGTGTGATTCATGTTATTAAAGCCATAATACTGCGTTCTTCGTCTGTTTCTCATGGGTATCTCCTCCTTACGATTACATCATCTGTCGGTGTCTCAATTGCCGTTTCACATGGCATCCCATCTTTTTCCAACATTACATCAGCAGAACCATCCTTGTTCTCACTATTAGTATGCGCCAATTCAGCATCTTGGCTGGATCCAGATGCTTGGCTTGCATCCCCAGTCACGCGGTCTTGGTCATGTACTGAACTTCCCACACTCTCAAGGACGACAGTACCCTCATCCAAAGTGCCACTTCCAATACATGGCGTATCAGCGGTTGTAGTCCCGTTGTCACTCACTGTATTGTCAAGGCTAGCAGTTATGACAGCTGGTGATGCCTCTATTTCAGTCACAACTGAACTATCAACAGGTGGCATAACTGTCTCATCTTGTGGTCGGTCAGTCTCTTCACTGCTACTACTAGACATTGCCTCTGGCACAGGCAAACCACCTTCGCTATCTCTCGCTCGTGTTCTCTCTAATAATATCTGGTCATCAGATGAGCTCTCTAGTACGGTGTCGCTAGACTCTCTGACCACTCTATTGGTGTGCCGAGTGCGAGTCCGTCTACAATGATTTTGTCTCGGTACGTTTAGTGTACGCATTGGACGATCCAGTGGAACTGCTGGCAGGGCATAGCATGGCATCAACAAATTACGATGAATCGTCTGACGCTTCCCTCCACTTTCTGGCTTCAGTAAGTAAACAGGGATGTCAGGATTCACTCTCTTGACTACCAAGTAAGGCTCATGTTCATGTTCATGTTTACCTCGGATAGATACATTGCGTATCAAAACACGGTCGCCAGGTTCCAAGTCGGCTTCTTTCGCCTTTTTATCATACAGATATTTGTTCTTCCTCGCTCTGTTAGTCATCTTGCTCCCCGCTATCTTATACGCTGCCTGTAAGTCTCTGCGTACTCTCTCTACATATGTTTCATAGGTCTCTTTGTCCTTGTCACTAGGCTCTAAACCTAGATAGATATCAATTGGCAATTTCGGATGCTGTAACCTACCAGTTACGATAACACTGCTTTCAGGACGACTTGTAACAGGTTTCTTCATCAAGGCACGAGCAGATCTCATATGACTGTAAATACCAGCAAAGCAATGTCTAGACTTCAACTTATCATATGTCCTTTTCCCAGGTGTAGACATCTTACCAACTTCATTGGGATTCTTCTTTCTACTGTCCGCAGCAGCTCGCATACATGGCTCCAACACATTTGTACCCAATGTTATTGGTACTCGATTTCCATACTCTGTATCTGGAACTACCACTACCAGGGCATCCATGGTCTGTTCTACACCATATATCGACGGTGGCAGTCCTAACTGTACTTCCAATAGTCCCAATACTGGCACAGCTTGGTCACTAGCACCCAGTATTCGCAAATCAGCAGCAGACATGTCCAAGGGAAAACCAGAGAAATGAGCTTACCACTTACTCAATGTAGTTACTTGTGAACCTGTATCCATTAGACAACGTGTGCTATGGCTGCTCACTGTGATTACTTCTCATATGCCGGTCCTACGACTCTGCGATGGATATCCGTTTGCATCAGTTGCAGGTTGGGGGTGGAGTCATCAACACTCAGGGGTGTCCTATCATTTCTCTTGCTTGGGCGGTTACGTTTCCACTGTCGAACTCTTCTTTGTTCATATCTCGCAGGCTGGTCACGCGTCTTGCAATCAGACTGTGAAGTGGATGTTGTCTGTTTAGCATTATTCTCCTTTTTCTGAGGGCAATTCCTGGAGTAATGTCCCTCCTCTTTACAATAGAAACATCTCTGTGCCTGCCGTTTCTTGTCTGGACAGTCTCTGGCCATGTGGTCTGGGTCACCACACACATAGCAATGTCTAGGCACTTTGGGGTTACCTTTATACTGTCTCTTGGAACCGGGGTCATCGTTTTCCCGTGTAAAGCCTGTTGTCTGTGTGCCATACTCAAGCGTTGATTTGACTTTCATCTCCAACCTATCCAAGCGTTCAATAACAGGATAGCGTTGGTTTCAACTGTTCAGCAAATTCTCTAGCTACTCCACTCACAACATCTGTTTCGCTAAACCGCGTCTCACCAGAGTTGTCTTGTACCTGCATGGCATCATCAGTAGCCATCAGTCGGGTCATTGCGGGTTTCAACCGCGAAAGGGGTTGGAATCTCTCATTAACTTCTTCCTGAGCTTCTCTCGCCAGCCCTACCATCTCATCAAAATCATACACTCTGTTTACACGATGTCTGATAGCATTCCTGACTGCTTCATCTCGCAAACCTCTCCAAAACGCATTTCTCAGTGTTGGTCCATGGTCGATTTAAGTATACCACCTTTTCGCTCTACTTTGTTTAACTCTTCCTTTAGTCTGTTAGCAAAGTCAGCAATGGTTTCTTTTTCTTTCTGTAGCCCCTTACTATAAAAGTTCGCCAGAAGTGTCTCAGTGGATTGAACATCACCATAGCGCTTGCGTAGCTTTCTCAGTAACTGGTCAAACGTAACATCAGGTCCCATCCCGTCTATGAGCCAAACCACGCCTCCTTTCAATGAGGCTCTAATTGTTCGCAGCATCGATATGGGGGACTCTTTAT